CTACCTAGCAGTTCTTTAAAGTGCTAAAGATCAAGGAGGTCAGTTTAAAGATTAAGATGTACCATGGAAATTTCAATTGCTTCATATGCATCTGAAAGTTGAACAAAGAATAAAGACCAATGAAGAACTGGTGCTTTGACCTCTTGGCAAAGAGTACCCAAAGACAGGTGGTTCGAAACCACCAGCGGCTCTGTGGGATAAACATGAGCAATCTCCTCTCATGTGATTTGCACCCTTTGAATACCTGCAGGAAGGTCAGCTATGAGTCAGTTCTGACTTAATAGCTGTGAGCTGAGTTACTGAATTGTCTCTAGTTGAAAGCTGAGGTCCTGGTGTGAGAGACTGATGAGTCATCCCATGATTACCACATAGCCAGGTGACTAAATCCCCCCAACCAATTCTGTAAACTTACAGTCTGTCATGAGGTGCATATCCCAATGATGGTCCTTTGCCTGCTTCTCCAGTCTCAATGGGTTGTACCTGCCGCCAATTATGATCTGTTGAATACCCTATGTACTGGAGAGAAGACAAATATTTCTTGGAGGGAGTGTAGCCAAAGTGCTCCTTAGAAGCAAATACTGTGAAAAATTGTCTCATAAACTTTGAGCATGTTGTAAGGACAGACCAGTTCTTGGCTTGAAGAAAGACATCATCGTTGGTCAGTGAAAGAGAGGAAGACCTTCAAAAAGATGGACTGACTGACTAAAACAATTGGCTTAAGCACAGAAGAAAATGTGAGAATGACAGAAGATTGGGCAAACTTTTGGTCTGTTGTACAAAGGGTAGCTATGAATTAGGATCAACTGGATGGCACCTAACAACACTTCTTCAGGTATGGTTCTTTTTTTAATGGGGAGAAGAAGAAAAAAGAAACTAGAACATTAATACCTACAACACATGCCATTCATTCCTGTATATTTAGCCAAAGGTAGGCAATAGGTATGCTAAGGGAAAGAGAAAGACACCATGGATTCAAACATCTTTTCAAGATCCAAACATCCTTTTTCAAGTTTTAAATAGGGGCCAGGATAAAACAGACAATCATTCTGGAACAAGGGAAACCATCACCATGATGTACAAAGGGTCCACTAAATCATAGTCATAGCTTTCATTTACACAACTGGGAACAAAGGAAATCACCAACGGATCATAACCAGTGGCAGGTACAACCCATTAGCATTATAGAATCAAAGGATCCCATCATTGGGATAGGCATCATTTTAAAGTTCACAGAACAGGTTGTAGGGCTTTTGTCCCCTGGCTATGTGACCTGTGTCATACACCTGTACCTCAACTTTAAACCAGAGGCTACTCAACAAACTCATCTCACTGCTGTCAAGTTGGAAATGACTCCTAGCTGACCTTGCAGGTTTTCAGAGGGTATAAATCATTTGGAAGGAGACTGCCCATCCTCCCTCAGAGGAGCTAGTGAATTTGAACCACCTGCCTTTGGGTTGGCGGTAAAACTCCTTACCCAACAGGCCACCAGAGCTCCTTTAAACTAGAATGCTATTTTTGCTACATCATATAATACACACCCAGGCAAGTTCTGCTCTCTCCCTGTGCTTTATGAACATGTTGGCTGGCTAAAGCAGGAAGTTCAGAGGTTGGAATCTACCAGTCATGGTGCGGGAGAAAGATGTGATAGTCTCCTGCCCAAAGGCTTTATAGACAATCTGATGAGGTGTCATCAACAGCCATGTGTTATTGAGTTTGGGTTTGGGTTTGGCGGTGAGCTAAAATTTACTTTCAAGTTCACTTTCTCCCAGAGCAAAGCCATGCGGGTACTTTGTTGTTGTTATGTGCCATCGAATTGCTTGCAACTCATAGAGACCCTATGTACAACAGCCCTAAAACCTGCTCTATCCTGTGCCAATCTTATTGTCTCTGACACACCTACAATCATTACCCCAGTCCCTGAATCAATCCATCTCATCGAGGATCTTCCTCTCTTGCACTGTCCCTCCACCCTTCCAAGCATGATGTCCCTCTCAAAGGACTGGTCTCATCTTGTAACATGTCCAAAAGTATGTCAGACGAAGCCTCAGAATCCTTGCCTCCAAGGAGCAGCCTGCCTTCATCCCCTCCAGGATGAACCTGTTTGTTCTCCTAGCAGTCCATGGTGTATTCAAAACTCTTCTCCAGCACCACAACTCAAAAGCATCAATTTGCCTTCTATCATCTGTAGTCATTGGCTAGCTCTAATGCACAGCAATTACTTTACTGGTCAGAAATAATGAGAAGGAGCGAACATGAAGGCAAAGCTCAGCTAAAGAGGAATGTTCCTAGAAAGGCTATTCCTTGGGGAGGACATCATGCTTGGAGAGGTCAACAAAAAGGAGAAAAACCCTCAACAAGATGAATTGACACAATAACTGCAGCAATGAGCTCGAGTGAGTCTGAGACTGTGAGGATGGAACAGGATAGGACAGAGTTCAGATCTGTTCTCACAGAATTGTTATGGGTGACACTCGACTTAAGGTAGCTCTGATTGCTTCTTGTAGATAGGTGCCATCAAGTCCAGTAGGACTAATAGCAACCCTATGAAGAATAAACCTGAACGCTGTACTATCTATCCTGTGTCAACTGCACAATCCCTGACACACTCAAGCCCATTGCTGCAGTCATTGCATCAATTCACCTGGCTTAGGGTCGTCTTCTCTTTCACAGTGCCCCTCCCCCCACCTTTCTAAGCATGTTGTCCTTCTCTAGTTGCCTTTCCTAGCAACTTTGCTCAAGTCCTTGGAATAGGAAATAATCGGATCGTTAATGAACACTGCATTGGAACAGCTGAGATGAAGAACGGTCTGAAAGGAATATATGATTAGGCATTTTATATGTATGACACCTTCCAGCCCAGAAAAAACTTCAGTTTATCTCAGATTCTCCCCACCCCCAATAATATCACCTCACTTTATTACAAGGGATTGTTACCGAAAATACAAATATTAGCATATGAAAAGCACATTCTGTTACATGGACGCCAAAGCAGCAATGCTATTAAGCGCCTCGGTCCTATCAGATGCCGCCAGCCGCTGAGCTCCGGCCACGTGACAAGGAGGCCGCGTGATGGTAGCCACTTCCTCACTGGCATCACACAGCAAGTATGTCCACACATGAGTTGGCACACAGAAGGCATCACAGCCGTGTGCCATGTCAAGACTCCCTGGCGCCAGATATTCGCGCTGCTTAGTTGTAACCCAGCAGGGAAGTCACCTCAAGTCTTCACCCTGAGCAGTTCAAGCCTTTCCAGCGAATGACCGGCGTCTTGCGTCATGACGTAGCACCTTAGAGGCTTCCCTTGAAGTTAGACCCGCCTCCTCTGTTCTATCTCTCCGTTTGGTGGGGGTCTCCCCGCTTTTATACATAATAGGGCGCTCAGTCACACTCACTAGACAAGAGTGTTCCAATCAGAATTATGAGCTCCTTGAGGAATCCACTTGAAACATCAAAACGGATTAAATTTCGAATAGAACAGCAAAGTTTTCCCCCCACCCAAAATCAGCAGAAGCCTGGAGGTGGTCGATTACGTCGATCCAGCCCCGCCCCCATCCGTGTCTTCTAAAACGACTTCCGTCAGAATGCCCTCCTCTTTCTTTTCCTCCGCCGTCGTAGTAAGTGTGGCTCCCTTTTGTCTTCATTATGGTAAGTCAATCTGCCACCATCGGCCCTGGGGAGGTACTCTGAGACTTGAAGCCGCCTTAGGCCTCAATGTGTTGGCATTGAACGCCTAGATGCGAGGATCATTTTTAAGACTTTATCGAGAAAAGGCTGAAACTAACAAGCAAAGGATCTGGGGAGGGGCGGGTTGCCCTTGTGTCACAGGAAGCCAAGGGATGCAGGGCTCTGCGACACCAGTGGGGATCCCAACTCCCTTTATCCTCCCGGGATTACCCTAGTGTAGACCAGGCTCTAACTTGGTTGCCCCATGAGTGGTGGACTGGCGGCGGACTTTTTGCAGCTCTTTTGGCTTGCTGGGCTTTGGGAGATCGGTATGGGCTGCTGAATTTAGGAAAGAAAACTGTAGCTTTCAGTAGTGGAAGGCGAGATGATTTACGGGGTTTTTCTTTTTTTAGCCATTTATTTAGGAACCTGCGCATCCTTTGTGAACCCATTTGCCAGCTGTAGCCATTATTTGTTGAGCTATAACTCATTGTAGATTGTAAGGGAGGGCTTTACTCATAATGGCCGCGGCTTGGTTTTTAAGGTGCGGTTTCAAAACACAGTATTTTGCTGGGTTGTTTTCCTTACTCGAGTAGAGTGGTTGAACTTGGCCAAAAATGACTCACTCTTGAGGAACGCTAAAAGATGGCGGTGGGAAAATGATGTCAACTTTGCAAAAAGCTGCATTTTGCATAGACCCTGAAATTTAACTCCCAGGTGTGTTACATAGGGCAGAATAGATCTACTAAATGTCACGCGATTTTTGTAAATCCATAGTTTTAAATAATATTGCAAAGACGGTTTACTGTAGGCAACCCACATTTTGCCAAGTGGGGCACTGGAACTTACTAATCTGCAAGTGACATCTCGTTAACACAAGCCAGCACCTATCAGGTGGTCTTATGAATTCTCGGAATTCTTGAGTTTGAATCATTTAGGTGGATTTTAGTGTGAACTAAATGATTTGTATTTCTCTCGCAGTCTTCTCACAAGACTTTCAGGATTAAGAGGTTCCTGGCCAAGAAACAGAAGCAGAACCGGCCCATTCCTCAGTGGATTAGAATGAAAACTGGCAATAAGATCAGGTGAGGCTGACACGCAGTCCAGTTCATCAGGCAGGGTGTTGGAACAACATGATTTGCAAGTAACAGGTTGTCTGATATTCTTTCACAGAACCTTTGATCAAAATAATTCTGGTAGGGGTGTGAATAATGGCAAATTGCCCTCTACTGCAGAAATTGATGCTTTTGAGCTTTTTTCCTGTCCTCAGCTGTTTTCCAGGTTTTGAAAAAAAAAATTGAAAGCAGGTTGCAATTTCAGTGCTTCAGTCTGTGGGAGTACTGACATTATCCTGCTGAAAGAAAAGTTGTGTTTATCATTTTTGGTTTTGCCTTTGTGGGTGAAATCATCACTGATTAACATGCACAATTAGGAAATTGCTTTGTCTCTGCACAATCATTGCTCTGGGATTGGAATGAATAGGAGTGTTACCTCTAGGGAAGAATTGTAGGAGTACAGGTACGGGTCATGTATGTGACTTTCTGGTGTGATTTAATATTGGGGGTGGGGAGTTAGCATAGGGTCTGGGCCAATTGAATCCGTGTACACTTCCTCAGCTATGGTTTGGGGATTTTTCTATCATTAGATCATTTTGAGAGGTAGGAAATTGCTTAACTCATTCTTAAAGTGTACCTAGCAAGTTATTTACTCCAAAAAGCTCCATATTTGTTAAAGGAAAGTACACTTTGCCCTCCAATACAGTTGTGCTTAAAAGGCAATGTTTGGTGAATAAGACCATTAAATAGTATCCATTATATTGAGGTCAGACTGTCTAGAATTTGTGGTTTCCTTCTCTGTAGGTACAACTCCAAGAGAAGACATTGGAGAAGAACCAAGCTGGGTCTCTAAGGAGTTGCACGCGTGATGGCAGCGCACATAATGATCCTC